ACATAGTCCCTATATACTTTTGAAGAAATGAACTTCAACTTTACTCTTTACTGAACTCAAAACTTAAGTCTTAAAACGAAGTTTAAACATTTGCAAAAGACTTCTTAAAATATGTTTCATGCCGATTGATGGACACGAACGACTCAATGCCAGGTTTTCAATAACCATAGATATAACTCAATACTTGGAACTTAAGAACTTCAATGATACTACTCATCTCAAGATTGTTCTACTTATAATGTTCATGCGGGATTATGGGCATGAAATGTTCAACTCAAGGACTCAAAGATATTTCTCAAAATGGATTAGGAACTCAACACTTAAAGGCTTAGAACTTGGAGATATTACTCCTCTCATAGATACTCAACTTCTGGAGTTCATGCGGAATTTAATGGCATGAATGACTTGACTCGTAGGTCTACATAACATTATGGAACTCATGATACAACTCTTCTCATTATCTTACTTACTTCCTCAAAACTTAGTTCAAATCAATAGTTGATCTCAAAGGATTCACAATCGAACTCAAAAACTTTCTTGAAATCTACTCTTAACTCCCTCTTGAATGTGAATTACGAATTCAAGAGTTATGGTTCATTCTATGAAGAATCTAGGTGATAGTGTAGACTTATGAATACATTCTCCTCACTCTCATTCGCACTTACTTGAGTCTTGAAACAAGTTACTAGAGGTTGTAGAAGACTCCACAAAAGAACTCAAAGGGACTTTCTTAGAATGTTCGAAAAAATTCTCAAAACTTAAATCTTATCTCTACCTTGAATTTGAAATAATAATTCAAGGTTATTATCATGTTATGAATGATTTCTAGGTGTTTAGAAGTAGCTTAGAGTAGTTAGAATCGAAAAGGAGTGAAGGTGCACTTTAAACGAACTGAAACGGGGCAACCGACGACAAACTGGATGAGGCAGGCGACCCTGGAGCTATGGGTGGCGCGGGGCGCCAGCTCCTAAACTTCAGAGGAGGGTTTGGGGTGTTCTGGCTGGCGCATCGCACCAGGCCCTAACCCAGAAAATCCGACGAAATTCTTTGCTCGTTTTCTCACCCTAATTCGCCTAGAATCGAACGGTTTCTTCCCCAATCACTTGGATTCAATTACTTAACATAAGTACACTCTAATATACTCAAAAAAACACTCAAATTGCTAAATTTCATCTCAAGAAATCATCAAAACCTCAACACAACAAGATTTAAAATGAACTTCAACAACACCTATCAAGAACTCTAATCTTTCAACTTCAACAATGAAATTTCGCTGAAAATAACATGATTGGCGTGTGGGTGAACTAACCCAACACTATGGAAGCTTACATACCTCTTAGGGATCAAACCCATGGTGACAATCCGCAACAACTCTCAAGAATTTCGACGAACGCTTCAATCCTTTCTCTTTTCTCCTCTTCTCTCTTCTTCTTTTCTCTTTTTGAACTATCAACTAAAACCCTAGGCGTAAACTAGGATTATAAAACTGAACCTAATCAGATTATACCCCTAAAATATTACTAAAAACGAATTAAATCCGATTTGGTTAGGAAAAGACCAAAATACCCCTCTAAAACCTGGTTTTGACTTTCCTTATCTAGACAGCCCAACTTCGAATGCACATATCTCCCTCATACAAACTCGAAACTGAAAAAACTCGGTGGCGTTGGAAAGATAATTCAGAGGTATTTCCTACGATATTTGGTAGCACACTTAAATCATCCTCAGCTAGGAGTTATGGTCGTTTGAAGTTGAACCATAACTCATACTTAACTTAACTCTCCAAATTCAGATTTTGCTATTTCCAATTCGATTCTTTTTGGAACTCAAGGTGCTACATCTAGTAACCTTAATACTCAATAAATTTTAACTTTCTTGCAAAAATCTCACTCACTACGAAAAACGGTTCGAGTCTTAGTTCAAATTTTTTTTGGAGTGTTGCAATTTCCTAGAAAATCATCAGTTTTTCCAACCCAAAAATGTGAGCATGCTCATCAATATTGATAAACTTTAAACCTCAAAGACCCAACTCAAATCACTTGAAGTGATCCCTTCATACTTATATATGTCCCCATACCTTGGTAAAAAAAAGGTCAACTTGAATTTTCATCCCAAAAATCCAAAAAAACTGTGAGTAAATTTTGCAGACCAAGAGTAAAGCATAAGTTTGAGAACTTTATCAAGGCAATTTTGGAAGGTATAATTATCAAAGAAGAAAAAAAGTAAAGCATAAGACTAAGATCACCAATCTCACTTGAGGCTGAATACTATATATAACATAAGGGGCAATCAAATTACACCTTCAAGGAAAGCAAAGACAAAAATGTGTAGAACTCAAATTTTCAAATGCTTCACTTGTCAAGTCAATATCATATATCTATTTGACTGGATTTGGATTGGATTGTGGTCTTTTCTTCAGATTTGGACAAGAAAATGAAGAAATTGGTTGTGAACGTTCCTAATAAAGATGATGTTGACAGTTTTACAGAACGCATTGATGCTTACTACCAGAAATGGCCACAGCTTCTGGCCTTACTTCAAGAATTGTATGACAACTATCTCTCTTTGGCAGACTGCTATTGCCAAGCACTTGTCAAGAACCATCATCGTCGAAATTCCTTCCAAATTCCATCCTCCCATTTTGATCATGATAATGATGATCAATTTGACAAGGAAGAGAACAATGGATCGGATATTGTTGATTCTAATGCTGAGAGTTCATTATCATATCAGCCTTCATTTCCATCCACACAAGTCAAATTTGAACCAAACATGATCATTGCAGACTTGGTGATCAGAAGTGTCAATTGTGAAATCATCATGCACGAGTTTAGTCTAGTCAACAAGCATTGCAACGAGTCATCAATGAAGATAGAGTTGCAGGAAAACTTATTGGAGTTGTTGGAATAAGAGAGGTTGATCTTGTTAAATGAGAACGCGAGATTAGGATACAAAATGGCTTCATTGATGGAGGAGAATAAGGGGTTGTCTTCACAGTATTTATTCGTGAAGATAAAGGTAGCTGAGCTTGCAAGGTTCATGCTAACCAGAAGGGAGGATCATAGAGTTTACGTGCTTAGTCGAAAAGTTGAGGATCTTCAACGTCAGATATATGGATAGGAGAGGAGGAACAATGAGTATTATGAGCAGCTACTGAAACATGAAGAAGAAAAAAGGAGCAGGTCCAAGATGGGGTTGAAGGGTTGCTTTAAAGTTCCTAAAGAGGCTGTTGTTGACAATGTCAAAATGGGTGAGAAGCGGAAAACTGTTGGTGCTGAAGTTGGAAAGAAAGTTCTTAAGTTTTGGGACAGGGTTAAAAAACTTGATATCTTCCTTTGTGCACCTGAATTCAACTAAAACTATTGTAAACATGAGAAAAAGAGGGTGTTTCTACTTAAAGTTTGCTGCATAAAAAAGATAGTTTTATCACCACGAGAAACATGTATGCTTATGAAGGCACATACACAAACATCATCCTACCCTCTTTGCTTTCAATTAAATATGGGGGAAGAAAAAAATGATGGGAGAAGCACTAAATTTCAAGTTTGCTTGACCACTCCAATGAATCTAGCTTGTTAATATCGGAAAAGAAGCAGCTTTTAGCCACATAACAGAATGCAATATAATGGTCAGCAACTAGAATTACTAGCACAGCTATTTCAAGATCAACCAATCAACTACTACATCTCAGATCCAAACTATTTGGTGAATGAATTAGAGGTCCAGAACATAGAGTAACTGGATGAGGTATTGTTGCAGATATTCATCCAGAATCTAACTAAAAGAATTTGAAAGCCTAAGCACAACTCAATATGCGCATAACAGCTTGCATAGAGGTATACAATAAAATTTAATCCTCTTTCTAGAGCTGTAAGCATTTACTCTGCGTTTTTTCTACTCTTACTTGGCTAATTGTTAACTGGAAAAAAATCACACACCCCTATTTAATTTGTAAGTAGATCCTTATTATATAGTGGTTTGTTTATTTATTACAACAACAAAAATATATCCGGTGCAATCTCATAAGTTGGGTCTGGAGAGGGCAGTATCATTACCAAGAAGAAGAGCCAAATCAGCAGGAAGAACAGTGGACAAAACTACAAAAAAAGAAGAAATAACAAAAACAATACAAACAATGAGGAGAGACCTAAGACACCTCAAGAACAGATGGATCAGGCAGATTCCCAGAAAAGTCACTGTTATACAGGTAAAAATATTATTACTCATAACTCTTGTATTGATCTTGTTGAACCAGATCAGTAAATAGTCCAGGTACAGGCAAAAATCATCATGAAGATAAGGCACCCACTGGGAAAACATAGGCCAAACTATAGGAGGGAGAGCTTGTGGGAATTGCGGTAGGTGCCACTGTCATGCTTAACATACTAATAACAGGGTAATTAGCTGCAACTATTGTTCTGTTTAAACTGTAGCCAATAGCCATGTGGTGTTCATTTTTGCATCTTGGAGTGTTCATCAAGTTTCTATTTCCCCTTTAATAATTCGAAAAATCATGTATTCCTATGTAAGCATATGAATATTAATTAAGAGCCATGACGTTTTAGTCCTCTGGACTTTCTTTCAGACTAGTGGCATATCATCTAACAAGTAATAATAATCCTTTTTTGGGCTAAACCATAGTCTCCCGATCCTATGACTGCCTAAAAATCATAATCATGTCGTGTACGACCTAATAAGGGTGATCAACTAAGAAATGAACAACAGAATATGCAGTTGACTGATAGGAAAAATAATACAACATCACAGATAGATTCAAGCCAGCATCATTACCAAGAAGAAGAGCCCAATCAGCAGGAAGAATAGTGGCAAATTCAAAAAAAGAATAACAAAAACAATACAAACAATGAGGAAAGACCTAAGACACCTGAAGAACAGATGGATCAAATAGATTCCCAGAAAAGTCACAGTCATACATGTAAAAATATTATTACTCATAACTCTTATATTGATCTTGTTGAACCAAATTAGTCCAACAGTATTATTACTCATAACTCTTAGGGGAATATTCTGTGTTACCAACCCCTATATCCCAAGATCCTCCCTCTATGCCTAATGTACTAGCAGGTATGGACAAAGAAGGAAATACAAAGGCCTCTAAGATCACAGGTATTGACTCAATGATCCCAATTCCCAGAAAAGTCACAGTCATACAGGTAAAATTATTATTACTCATAACTCTTACATTGATTTTGTTGAACCAGAGCCAAATAGTCCAGGTACACTAGCAGGTGTAAACACACTTAGTAAATACAGAAAAAAAATACTTTCATAAAATCACAAATCGTCACAATTGTTTGAATACCTGGGAATCAAAATATTTGTAGGATGAGATGAATCCAGTAAAACCTACAAGAAAATATAAATTAAGAACTAAATTGTGAAACCTAGAAACTTCACATGGTTCCGAAAATAAATACTTTTTTAATTAGTTAACATAACTTGACCCCAAAATCCTACCAGTGACTATGTGATCAAAGGTTTGTTTCAGTAAGATCATGAGTTTATAAGAAATAAAAACCTTAGGATTACCTGTAGATGGAGATGGCTATCATGAATTTCTTTGCTTGAGCGATGTGTTGAGGGCCTGAGGCGATATGCAAATAACTCTAGACTTAAGCAGGAGTAGGGTTTTTTTTTTAAAAAAAGTTTCTTATTACTAATAGGAGGGAATATTTTATTGTAGTAGAAAAAATTAGAGGGAAAAGTTAATAGCATGAAAAATTAGAGGGAGAAATTAATAAATTTTCTTTTACTTTAATAAACTTAAAATAAAAGTTTTATTTTTAAGGTAAATAAGATGAAAATTTTATTTTTAAGCTAAATAAGATGAAAGTTTAATTTTAAGTTAAATAAGATGAAAGTTTAATTTTTAAAACATACAACACAATCATGAAAATGCACACACAAAAATATTTAAGCTAAATAAGATGAAAATTTTATTTTTAAGAATGAATAACTAATGCTTGCAAAGAAAATGTAAAAAAAAAAATTTAAATAGGGTGAGGGTATTTTGTAAGCAAACAACTTATCCTAAAAAATTATACAATGAATATTAGCTTGAATATGAGACACTGGTATTCAGATTCACTAAAATTTTAGAATTACTGTTGTGAATCAAGTTGACTCTGTAAGGGCCTATGGGATATTAGAGACTTTTATTTGGGATCTAGGCCCAATAACCATTTGTAAAAAAAGACTAGGTGTTAGAAGAGCGGTTAAGAAAAATTATGTAAACGTTGGCTGTCAGTTATCTCTCATTTCTTTTCTCTGTTCTAGCATCTCATCTCCTTCTAGTTACCTTCTAATTAGTATGTTATTACTTTGTTGTGCGTATTATACGTTGTAATTTGTTATCTAGTGAATATTATATATCAGTGTTTGTGTTGGAAATTGAGTTTGTTTCATTGGTGCTTTCATCCAGAGGTCTCTCTAATGGAGGACCAAAAAGTACTCAAGGCTTTCGTTGGTGATTCAATTTGGGATTCACTACAAGAAATGAAGGATTCTATCTCTAAAGATCTCATTGAATGTCGTTCGATGTTGCTGGAGGTTTTGGGGGAAAAGGATACGACCTCTTTTGAACCCAAAAACATAGTTATGAATGTCAAATTATGGCAGTTTCGAGGTGAGAATCCGGACGCTTGGATAGTTCAAGCAGAGCATTATTTTAATTGCTATAAAATTGAGGAAGATCAGAAGCTTAATGTGGCTTCGTTCTATTTTGATGGTGAGGCTTTGGAATGGTATGGATGGTTATTTCGCAACAATCAACTCACTGGTTGGGACCATTTTTTGGACAAATTGATGATTCGTTTTCGCTCTCGTACTAGAGACACATCTCGCGGGTTCTTACCCATTCCCAAGAACAAGAATGATAGGACAGTGGATTACTATTAAGAGGCTATTCCATTGTGGGGTAATATTACTAACTCATCCTCGCCTCAGTCTTATCAATACAATCTCTTTGCTAAAAATTCTAAGGTAGAACACATGTTCGATAAAATTCCCGAGAAGGGTAATGATGTAGATTCTTTGGACAGTACCTCTGTTGAAGAAAATAATGACACTTTTGAAGAAATGGACAATAGGCCATCACTAATAGTTTCTTCGATGCTTAGTGGGTATGATCAAATGGTGACAGATCCAGATTTGTCTAATAACACTACTAATGATAAAGCAATTTCAATTCCAAACAAAGTTCTCTCTGAACTGCCTCAGTCTGGTCATGATCAATCAAGTCGAGAAAGTGGGCAACATGTCCGTACCACTAGTTTGTTGTTGCGTGCTTTCGATGTGCACAATGATCATTCCATGAACACATCCTTCCTACGCGAAGTTGTTGATGATGTTACCGCAGTAAAGTATTGGAAGCTGGTAGTTGTTGGACCAGAGTACAGTGATTCTGAGCTCCTTGATGACTTGGGACTGTTTTCAATGGATGAGGTAACTGTTAAACATTTCAGAATTAGTACAACAAGGATGTTCGACGACATTCTTCGGTGGTCTTGTGTCATTGGTTGTGGACACAAGGTTGCAAGACCATTAATTGGAGATCCCAATTTTAGTTGAACTATTATTTTTAAGGAATTTGTATTGAAGGACATAGACGAAGAAGTGGATAAAGCATTTTTCTCCTCCACTAATATTTATTTGCTTGTAGATGTTATTTCTGCAATTGATTCTAACATTGTCTGGAATGCTCGAATTGCACTATTGGAGGCAGGAATGGTTGTGCATTCAATACACCGACACCAACCACAAGATAACAAGCTAGTGCGAAATGGGAATAGCATGGAGAAATATATCAGTAGCTGTTGTGTGAGATTCTTTATACATTTTGTTGTGACATATAACATGGATGTTGTTTATATGATTCATCGAAGGGCAACTGGTGTGTTGATAATGGTGGTACCGTTAACTGGACGAGAACCTACCACATTGCTGGAGTAGCTAAGAGGATGAACACGTCTGTTTCTGTGGCAGCTGAAAGTAATGAGTTTACTTGTCTTATGTCACTGGATCGGCCAAAGGTGGTGCCAACTTTTTGTCCAATTGATTTTTATATCCAAACAACTTCACTGGTCGATCGGTAAGGGCCTATGGGCTATTAGAGACTTTTATTTGGGATCCAGGCCCAATAACCATTTGTTAAAAAAGACTAGGTGTTAGAAGAACGGTTATGAAAAATTATGTAAGCTTTGGCTGTCAGTTATCTCTCATTTCGTTTCTCTGTTCTAGTATCTCATCTCCTTCTAGTTACCTTCTTCTATCTGTAATTAGTATGTTATTACTTTGTTGTGTGTATTATACGTTGTAATTTGTATCCAGTGAATATTATATATCAGTGTTTGTGTTGGAAATTGAGTTTGTTTCAATAACCACATTTGAGTTTGGTATGAGACACTGGTATTCGTTATTTTTCGAATACAAAATTATTTACTGAATGAATTTCATAAATCAACAGGTTCATAACTCATTAGTACAAGTTCAAAGAGAAAGTTAAATACTACATAAGCAACTCAAATATATATGTCTTTTAGTTGTATCAATTTTCATTTTTTTGATGTCTTCTTACATGTTTATCTTTTATTATATCGTGCATCCACATAGAAAAATAGAAATAATTTGAGTGATAATATTAACAATGAGCAACAAATTCTTTATTACCGAATACCATAACAAACCGAAGTTTGATTTACCGAATAACAAATACCTAACCGAAATTTAAAATTTTGATATTTGGTATCTACTTTTAACTACCAATTTCGATTTAGTGAATCCGAAATTTAGAAATCTCGAACATCCACCCTAACACTGATTATACAATATAGCTTGCCAAAAGTTAGAATTGGCAAAATTAAGCCCATTCGCCCAACCCGTTTAAGTTTGGATGGGTTATTGATCCGCTTATTTATTAGGTTAACTCATTTCAATCCATTAAAAATTAGGTGATATGTAACAAATATTGAATCAATAGAAATCTTGTCAAAATATTCTTAAAGAACTTTTTTATAAATTTGATATGCTATATATAACCATTATAAAGAAAAATAATAATTTTATTAGGTACTAAAATATTGTAAAAAGAACAATAAAATAAGTAAAACATAGTAAAATTTGGGTTGGATTGAGTTTTGACCTGTTCTATAACTCATTACTAATACCGGACTTGACTCAAGCAAATTTGAATTGGGTTGGGTCTTGACATGTTTGTTGTCTTTACCCATTAAAAGACTCTATTGGGACTCGCTTGTACAACCTTAATTAGTTGTTGTTTTTATGATAAATATATTTTTCTATTAAGAATTTACATTTTATAAATACAATTTTTATTTATGAATATATTATAAGTTGAATTTATTTGCGTAATTATTATGTTTATTTATATTTTGATTTCTCTTAAAATGTTCACTTCACTGCTAAATTACATATTTTTCATTAAATAGTTTATTACTCACTTAAAAATAATATTTTATATAATAAATAGTAATGTGTCCACGTGGGCACATATATACCTTTAAAATACACTATTAAATAGTTCAGGGGGTAAAAAATACGGTATTAAATAGTCTAGGGAGGTAATAGGTCCTCATGAAAGTTTAGTATCGCAACAGCAAATCCGACCAAAGTTGAGATATTTTTCAAACCCTTATCCCTAATTAAAATGTAGATAACTTTAATAATATATTTTCTTTTCCTTTAATAAACTTAAAATGAAAGTTTTATTTTTAAGCTAAATAAGATGAAAGTTTTATTTTTAAACTAAATAAGATGAAAGTTTTATTTTTAAGCATAAATAAGATGAAAATCTTATTTTTAAGCTAAATAAGATGAAAGTTTTATTTTTAAACTAAATAAGATGAAAGTTTTATTTTTAAGCATAAATAAGATGAAAATCTTATTTTTAAGCTAAATAAGATGAAAGTTTTATTTTTAAACTAAATAAGATGAAAGTTTTATTTTTAAGCATAAATAAGATGAAAATCTTATTTTTAAGCTAAATAAGATGAACATTTTTTTTAAAGTTAAATAAGATGAAAGTTTAATTTTTAAAATATACGGCACAATCATGGAAATGCACACACAAAAATATATAAGCTAAATAAGATGGAAGTTTAATTTTTAAAATATACGGCACAATCTAAAGCTCATTCACCCAGAGTGCCCTAGAGTTAATTGTGTAGAAGATGGGATCCTTTATGTCCCAAGAAGGCTGGAACATGGGAAAGATGCAGGAGTTTTTACCTGGCCCTATAGTAGATCATGTCCACAAGAATTTATAGTTAGACACAGTCTCAACACTGCCAGATCTTCCTTGGTGGACCAAATCTAGTTCCGGAAACTTCACTGTAGGAAGTGCTTGGGAGTTAGTCAGACAAAGGAATCAGACAAGAGAGGAGTTTTCCAATATCTGGACAAAAGGGGTTCCCTACAAAATCTCCTTTTTCCTGTGGAGATTGTGGAAATACAAATTACCCGTGGATGAAGTTTTGCAGAGAATGAAAATTAACTTGGTATCAAAGTGTAGATGTTGCGAGAATCCACGGAAGAAACAATTGTCCATCCCGTGGTGAATTTGCATCATCTATTTGGCATTAGTACACTGGATCAGCAGGTATAGTTGGACCTTTTGACATGTGTTCTTTTTTCTTCTCATATTATATATAGATAG